TCCTTTTATGACTTCCTAAATCCGTCAATGTTATCATTTTAACATGAACTTTAAAAATGTAGACTATGCTTTCTAGCAATTTTCAAGTACGAGAAAGTGAGCGACGACTTTTTGTAAGGCTCAGTTCAGATGCTATCAATTATCATCATCGCTAATCGTACTTGCTTCACGCCAAAAAAAAACCGGTCGTTACTCGCAAACTGCTATCATTTTCGGAAAAATAATTGTTCGCTTAAAATTTTATAGTTAATGTATGCTGGGTTGCAAAATCTTGCCAATCACACACTGAAATTTACAATAAATTTTATAGCACTGGAAATTATATTTGAGAAATTTCTCATAAAGATGTATGCTGGTCTTGTATTAACTGAAGTTAGGATTGTTTATATTGTACTGTATTTTACTATTTTTTATCTTTTGAATGTAAACAAAGTAGATAATCGCAAGTCCACCTGTTATTTAGTGTAAGAATGAAGTTGACTTATTGTTCATCACGTAGTGATGTTTTGATTGAATTAAAAAACACTGCATGGTACGCCTGAACTTTAACTAAAATTGAAATTAAAATTTTATGTGATACACCCTAGTATTGTCAAAGATATATGGATTGATTGATGATTGCTTTTTTAATAGCCACAAAGGGGCTGGAAATTGTTTTTCGTTCCAAATGAAAACATTTCAAAATATTTGTTTCGGAACAATTCAAGTTTCCCCAGAAATTGAAAAAATATTTCGGCTCTTAATTTATTATGTTCATGGCTGCGATTCTTTGTTATTTTTGACACTTTAAACTTTAAATTATGAAAAAAGGAAAAAAAAAAAAGAAAATAAGAGGCTCTTCTGTCAGCTTTATCTTCTCAGACGCTTTAAATATTCATAAAAATCCGAGAAGAAATGTTCCTTTTCTCGTGAAGTAGTTCGATTTTTTTTCGTGGAGGTGCTATATTTCCAAATATGAAATATACTTAGTTTCCTAGATATTCTTTTTTTTGTCTGTGAAAGTTTTTTCTAACCTTTATCTGCATAAACTTGGAATTGATGTTCGGCACGAGGTACTGTTCGTAGCCTGTTCCTGTCCAATTAAGCAACTCACAACGTAGACTCGTTTGGTCCACAGTGATGACATTCACTGACAAACATTCCTTGTTTTGTACACACTTGAAACAACATTCCTTTTTGCTCTTAGTAGTTTCAGTTGATAAAACAGTTCCTGATTTCGAGAAAACGTTTCCATCTGCACTTTTATAAAAGTCCCGAATGACTACTTTATCATTATTGTCAAGATTTAGGATAGATTGCGTCGTTTCAAAAGCGATAAAACACAGAGAAATGAAAAGAAAAGTCCAGAGTGACATGTTGACAGTTTTGAACACGATCTCTGTGTTTCGGATACGTGTATCACTGATCGATATTTGCAATAGATATCAAGGTGAGATGATAATGAAGGAGAACCTGCTGACCTAAGTATACGTACTGTATTATATCATATGCGAATAAACACGTAAAGAGACAGCAAGAACAATTGCATTGGATCTATTTTCGTCTAATCAATCACTCACAATAGAACTAGCCATCGAAGACACAGTGTATTTATCTTGGTACCACCTCATTGGACAAGTAATCCGCAACCAACTTGGCCAAGCTTTCAGCGCGTGTGTTGATAAACTCAGTATTTTTTCTCGAACTAAATTTACTGTTTTTTGTGTATGCACAATGAGTACCCCTGATTTATGGCAGTGGATGCTGTCCCACTTACGATGTAATGCTGAAATTTTACTGCTTAAAGGGAATAATACAGGAGCATGTGCACTGGGTAGTTCAAGGAGTTCCGGAACCTGCCCTTCCAAGAAAGACAAAAAAGTCTTGACAATATTGGACTTTATTTCTCAAATAAGTAGAGTAAAGCATTTCGGATACTGCAACAGTTTGGCCGGTGCGAATACAAAACAATACCGAGGCAAATTTTTAAATCAATCGCCTTCTTTACAATCATGAAATCTCCCTCCCCCTCCTCCACACTCACACATTTCTCCTGTATTTTTTTTAGAATATGAAGATTACCCTAGCGACGTTTATGTTGCAAATTATGTAAAACAATGTGCTTGAGAAAACAAAAAACATGGATGCATCGGACGTAACAATCTGTATCAATCAGTATGCTCTTCGTGGTAGTAATAAATCTCGACGTCATTCGGGGTAAACGTATGTGAGCCAGAGAAATATGTACAACCTACACCAATGGCACACCCAGGCGGGGCCTGGTAACTATTCACTACCGTATGTGAATTTGCATTATTTATGGCAAGATTAGCTACATGTAGGTCATGATATCCCGCTCCAAATGTTGGCCCATATCCTGCATTGCCATATATAGCATACCTCTGATGGTTTGGTCTTGTTAGGTTCAACTGGATGGGTTGATATCCTTTGGTGTTGTACAGCGAGAATAGGAAGGATCTTGATGACTTGGTATAGTCTGCAACTATTTGATTAAAAAACAATCAAGAAATCAATTGATTAACCGACGAACTACCATAGAACAATCCTTATCTCACTTAC